GAGAGGAAAATGGAGGAGAGGGGATTGTGGCATGGCCATCCTCCATGGTGGTGGTGGTGGGGAGGGGCAGGATTTCTCACTTCTCTCTCTCTCTCTCTTTTCTGGCAAGTGCATGCTCTCTATGGCAAAAATCTTAAAAAGAAAAAAAGCTGTAATCCTGGAGTTGTTGGTGGCCATCCTACAACCACAGATGGAGAGGCTACCCGTAAGTGAGCCAACCCAGAGGAAGCAGAGCTGGAGGAAAAGAGAGCAAGACCGAGTTTGGATGGTGCTGCCTGGGCCCCAAGATTCGGTGATATTGGCTGTGGTTATCTCCCTGGACCTTGTCACACAGCCATTTTGCCCTCTTTTGTGCTTAAGCAAGTTTGAACTGGGGACTCAGTCATTAGGGATCATATACCTGAGTCCGTGAGGAAAGTTGGGAGAGTGTGGACCTGTCTCGTCTCCGTTCATCACAGAAGCCCTGAGACACAGGGAAGGAAGGAGCCTGCCCAAGGCCTTTCAGGAGAGTCTATGCTAGGACAATATTCTCCCAATTCCCTCTTCTCTTTTCCAAAGGTTTCAGCATCTCCAATGACCCAGATGCCCGCACTTGGGCCCAGGCCTCTTGGTTAGGCCTTCACCTCCCCTTCACAGCCCACACCACTTGGCATGTTTTCTAGAGCTAACATGATTCATTTCTATGTGTCGACTGGGCTGTACCTTCACATCTCTGCTTCTCTTCTAAGCTTCAAAGACCACTTGAAATGTTTTTTTCTTGTTTTATAAGTAAGGAAGGTGAGCCTCAGAGAGGTCAAAAGCCAACCCAAGGTCCTACAGCTAAAAAGTGATAGAGCTAAGACTCAAATTCAGGTGTTAGATTCTCTGAGACCTCAGCTTCTTCGCTTATCATCCACAGACCTTCAAAATGTTCATGCACAAACTTCAGAAGGGCAGTGAACCCCCTAAAATCGAGCGTGAATTGATATAGCTGTGCATTTTTCTGGGGGCAGGTTCATACATAATATTGTCAGATTCATGAAAGGATCCATGATCAAAAAAGGTGAGTGTCTGAGTTATGCGTTCAGCAGCTGGGTCAGACAGTTTTGGCACGCTGCAGACCGGCAGGGAGCTTAGTCAAGCCCTCCCATCACAGCCACTCTGTGTGCCAGTCCCCAGGGCCCCTAGGGGCTGAAATAGTTTTAATTTTTTTTTTTAATTTAAAGCCAAGAGGAAGCAGAAACATTCAGTGACCACGCTACTGATATGTGGGGGCTCCAGAGGCAGGCAGCACTTGAGAGGGTTGCTGTCAGTAGCTTGGATCTGTGGAGAAAGCTCAGAGCAGGATGGAAGAGTGCAAGTAGAGGGACTATAGTAGGTTTTCTTTTTGTTGTTTTTTCCCCCCCTTTCTGGCCCTGGTTCTTAGCTTCTTCCTGCCAGAACACCCTGCCTTTCCTTGAAGAATCCCCTACTGCTATCTCAGTCTCAGTCCAGGTAACCTAGGCCTCCGACCCTGCCTCCAAGGCCTGGCCAATGAGAACCTCATGTTTTCCTAGTCACAGTGATTAGATCGCCATGAACGGGATGGGACACTAGCCAGGGTGCTCACAGTCACTGCCCTCAAGTAGAGCTGCTGAAAAGGAGGCTGGTCTTCTCTACTGAGATGCCCTCAGAATAAGATGTAAACCTGGGGCCAGCAGGTGGTTGGTACTTAAGGCACTTGATTCCACATGGCCAACTACACAGTTTGAGTTCCAGACGTGGTAGCTTGAAAATCATGCTGAGCGTGTGTGCATGTGCCCAAAATCTTGAGAGGAAAATGGAGGAGAGGGGATTGTGGCATGGCCATCCTCCATGGTGGTGGTGGTGGGGAGGGGCAGGATTTCTCACTTCTCTCTCTCTCTCTCTTTTCTGGCAAGTGCATGCTCTCTATGGCAAAAATCTTAAAAAGAAAAAAAGCTGTAATCCTGGAGTTGTTGGTGGCCATCCTACAACCACAGATGGAGAGGCTACCCGTAAGTGAGCCAACCCAGAGGAAGCAGAGCTGGAGGAAAAGAGAGCAAGACCGAGTTTGGATGGTGCTGCCTGGGCCCCAAGATTCGGTGATATTGGCTGTGGTTATCTCCCTGGACCTTGTCACACAGCCATTTTGCCCTCTTTTGTGCTTAAGCAAGTTTGAACTGGGGACTCAGTCATTAGGGATCATATACCTGAGTCCGTGAGGAAAGTTGGGAGAGTGTGGACCTGTCTCGTCTCCGTTCATCACAGAAGCCCTGAGACACAGGGAAGGAAGGAGCCTGCCCAAGGCCTTTCAGGAGAGTCTATGCTAGGACAATATTCTCCCAATTCCCTCTTCTCTTTTCCAAAGGTTTCAGCATCTCCAATGACCCAGATGCCCGCACTTGGGCCCAGGCCTCTTGGTTAGGCCTTCACCTCCCCTTCACAGCCCACACCACTTGGCATGTTTTCTAGAGCTAACATGATTCATTTCTATGTGTCGACTGGGCTGTACCTTCACATCTCTGCTTCTCTTCTAAGCTTCAAAGACCACTTGAAATGTTTTTTTCTTGTTTTATAAGTAAGGAAGGTGAGCCTCAGAGAGGTCAAAAGCCAACCCAAGGTCCTACAGCTAAAAAGTGATAGAGCTAAGACTCAAATTCAGGTGTTAGATTCTCTGAGACCTCAGCTTCTTCGCTTATCATCCACAGACCTTCAAAATGTTCATGCACAAACTTCAGAAGGGCAGTGAACCCCCTAAAATCGAGCGTGAATTGATATAGCTGTGCATTTTTCTGGGGGCAGGTTCATACATAATATTGTCAGATTCATGAAAGGATCCATGATCAAAAAAGGTGAGTGTCTGAGTTATGCGTTCAGCAGCTGGGTCAGACAGTCTTGGCTCACTGCAGACCGGCAGGGAGCTTAGTCAAGCCCTCCCATCACAGCCACTCTGTGTGCCAGTCCCGAGGGCCCCTAGGGGCTGACCAGGACAAGCCACTGAGTTCTGGTTTAGCCACGAGGTGCCTCAGATCCCCTGGTGACCCTCCGGTCAGCTGATCTTTCCATGCCCTTTTCCCCCAGGAGACACTTGGATGCTCACCCCATGCTGGACGTGGCACTACGAGCCCTTCATGTGCCACTGTCTTTCATCGCCACAACTGTGCAAGGTGAGTACTACTATTACTCGCAGTTACAGATGAAGAAACTGAGGCTCAGAGAGGTGAGCGGACTGCTTTCTTTTATCTAGAGTCAGAGAAGTCTTGTTTTCACCTAGGAAAGGTCTGCCAGGAAGGGAAGCCAATGGGTTTGTCTCAAAGAAAGCAGCCCTACTGGTTGACCAGGCCTGGCCCCTTGCCAGTTTCCCAAACAGAGCCACCAGGGCCATGTCCAAGAACTGCTGGCCCTCAGAGCAGCTGATGGGCCGGGCCGGCAGGAAGACCATTTCCCAGAGCATTCTGTTCGAGGAAACGCAACTTCACTTCTAGCTCACTTCACCACTCGGTCTGAGCTGGACACAATGTGTTTGCAGAACAAGCTGCGCTGCCCTTGCCAACTGACCTGGCATCCACGTGCAGAGATGATTACATCAGAACCCCCAACCGCCCCTCCTCTGGGAGCTCTGCGGCTGGTAGAGGTGGGGACTGAGCTGGCTTCCAGTCAAATCGTTTTGTTAAGGAAACTATGAATCTTCTGATAGTTTTTGCACATCTGTTTTGTCTTTTTTTTTTTTTTTTTTTTTAAAGACTAAGCTCAGTTGAAAAGAAAAATATTTTTCAAGAGAAAGAGAAAAGAAGCAAAAGGCTTTGGAACTTCTCTTTTTCAATAAATGGTATGCAGCCCCTACTCCAATGCACCTCAGCTTTCTTGGTTCCTGTGGTATCTCACCAAGCAGCAGTGCTGACTCCAGCTTGCTCGTACAGCTATGTTTTTCTACCTCTCCAGGGCTCCTGCTGGACTCGGGATGGAAGCCTGAAGTTAGAGAAGCCTAGGGAGGATTGAGCAACAGGACCAAGGATTTCTGAGAGGGAGGGCCCAGCTGGAGAGAAGGCCCAGGCCCAGGCGAGCAACGTACATTACACGACCTCTGGGCCACTGCCCTCATTTGAAACCAGAAAAGCAAAACGAAGAAAAATATCCAGTAGCACCATGTGGGATTTGGGTTTGTAGGGTGCTTTTCTAATAATGATAACGTTCTGGCCAATCTGGCTGAGAAATCAGAAGCCCAGCCCCCTCGGGTCTTCCCTCACATTCCAGCAAGTGGGGATGCAGGTCTTCATCCCTGGGGCAAAGTTCTGGCTGGACCCAGCCAACCTGGAGTAGTTAGGGGCCAGTGACCAGGTTACTAGGGATTTGAAGAAATTCAGTTCAAGAAGGACTTCCTGAGCACCTCATCCACTCATTCCACACACATTTACTGAGGGCTAATTACACCCGACACTGGGTCAGGAGGACACAGCGATGGACGAGAGAGACCTGGCTCCTGACCTCATGGAGACGGACTGGCAAGGAAGACAGGGACCAAGAGTTACACCGAGCGAGGAGAGAGGCATAACGGGCGAACGAGGAGGTACAGGGAGACCTCCACCAGGCTGGGGACTCAGGGAGGCTCCCTGAGGAGGTGACTCACTGAGCACTGAGCAGGGAGGAAGCCCTGCGGGCTAAGAGGAAGCACACACAGTGGCCTGGCAGCAGAGGGAGATGGTGCTTCGGGCAAGAGAGGGCAGGCCGGAGGGCCAAAGGCTGAGGGGCCTCTTATCCCTGCAGGGGAGGAGAGGTGAGGTTGGAGGGCTGGACGGAGCTGCTTCCCCATGCAGGGCCCTGCAGGGCACACAGGAGTGCTCGGGCTCGGGTGTGGGGTTCCACCAGCTCCGTGAAAACGGACCGTAAATGACACGAGGGTGAATAAAGGTGCTGGGGCTGGGCGTGTTCAGGAGGAGGTTTAGGCCTGGGGTCAGGTGCCTGGGACCGAGCCCTGGGGGCACTCCCTGCACTCACAGGCGCGGGCGACAGGTGTCACTTACCTGGTTAAACCTCCGGGTAAAGGCCACGACGTTGGGGGCGAGGCTGTGTTTCTCCTTCTTACTCCATCCACAGCTGGCTAGCTCCTGGGAAGCACAGAGTCCATTTCAAAAGCGATTCTAATCAGGATGCAAAACACACCAGGGGCACCTAATTGGACCGTGACATGAAGGTGGGGAAGAGCTGAAGCCTTGGCTAGTCACGTGTCCGCCAGGTGGGAAGGGTTTTCCTTCTCAGGGGGAGGGCTCAGTGAGAGGAGGGGCAGTATCCAGGACCTCCAGAGGAGGGTGAGAGGTGGAATCTCCGAAAACCCCTAGCCACGTGCTTTCTGTGCCAAAATATTCTTTATGTGATAGAAATAAAATACTTTCCAACTCATTTTCATGAGACAGTAACAGCAGCAGCAATACCATGGCCATTCAAGAAATGTTGTTGAATTATTGGGTCATTGGGAAAATCATGATGCAGTTTTACATAGAAAAATATGTCACGACTTTCCTGGCAACCTAACAGATTCCAAATATCCTGGCATACCACTATAAACTCTTTAAACACAAAAGTGTAATTTTATTCATACAATAATGACACTGCTGTCCAACGTGTGGGCCTTTTCCTCCTCCCAAGTTGAGTTTTGAACATCTAGTAGTATAGTGACAAGCGCCTGGCTGCTGAATCAGGTTACCTATCACATTCAGAAAGACGCCTGCGCCCAGATTCCAACCCACCACAGCCTTCTCCAGCTTCTCTGGTCCAGAGCCCTTCTGTACAGTGCAGTCATCTGAGGGAGAGCGTGACTGCGTGACTGTCCTAGCCAGCAGGACTTACCCCCCATCACAGATATGGCTCCAGGACTCCGAGCTAACTCACAATTAAAATCTAGCTGAAGAATCTCGGATTTCATTGGCCACAGGACAACCTCCAGTCCTGGAGCAAGGCAAGGCCCCCGTCCAAGCCCACTGCAACCAGAGAAGCTTCTGGGGTTATCTCAGCTTCCATCCTCATAGAACTGAAAGGGGCAGAGGAAACACTCCCTTTAATATCTTATGCAGGGACTTCTCTCTCCTTTTCCTGTGGGGTTGGTGCAACAATTTGAAGAGCTGAACAGCCTAAATTGTACCTATCAGTAAGGTTGGTTTGCGGCCAAAGGATGCAAGGTGGAGATAGTAGGAGCAAGCTAATGGGGTTACTTGGAGGTAGAGAAAAGGGCCAGGCGATGACATTATTCCAACGTCCAGCCATCTCAGCATGCCTGGAGAAGCCCCGACAGAGATGGGAGGAGATGCAGTGCACTCTAAATTCTCTACCCCTAGGTTACAAGCCCTCCTTTTAGTTCGTATCAGGCCTCAGTACGTAATAATAGCTTTTTTGGTTTGTTTTGTCACACTCCTTCAACCTTCATGGACCTTTAGTGAGAGTCAGGGCCCACCAGCTAGATACAGATTGGTGTCTACTAGGACGTCAAGGAGGGCATGAGAAGGGCCACAGACAAAACTTGCTGGTGGGGCAGTTACACAGGGGACTTCCAAAAGTTCGTGGAAGAAATGAAATTAAAGTACACGTTTATTTTAGTGCAAAACAACTTTGAAATCCATGTACTGTTTTTCCATAATACATATTTCCCAGAACTTTCTGAAGACACCTCATATCTGAAGTGCCAGGTCCAGCAGATGCACCTTAGGACCTGATTATGAGCCACATACGGGGGCTGGTGGAAGCCCGGCTGACAGCCGTGGGCAGCCCTGGCTACAGGACGAGTGGCCTGGACTGGAGAGCACACTGGGACCAACCAGCAGCTAGGAGGCACCTGTTCTTGGCCGTAAGTGGTAGGCCCAGCATGAGAGAATAGAAGCGGCCTGACCCTGCCCGTCCCTCAACATCCTCACGATTTAGCCCTGAGTAATAGACATGCGATGGTACGAACTGACACCACCATCCAGCAAGAGTCCCGCCACACAGACGCAGAATCTCGTGTAATAACTCTCACCACATCCACTCTACCAAAGAGGAGGGGGCTCGGCGTTCAGTCTCTGGAACGACTACTGCAACTCCCCTTCTTCTCAGAAGCAGACATGAGTCTCTTTAAGATGTGGAATCCGCCTCTGTCTACTACAATTCTCCTGGTTCTGAAATGCACATTGGCGTTTTGTTTCAAGTGTATTTACTTGATCCACCTCAGTTACGTTTACTGCCTCTCCCCCTTTAAAATATACACAGTCAATCCCATGTAATGATGTTCAGTCAATGATGGGCCGCACGGACAACAGTAGTCCCAGAAGATCATAGTGGAGCTGGAAAATTCCCACCTGGTGACATCCTCGCTGGCAGAATGTCGCAGCACAATGCAGTACTCACGTGTCCGTGGTGTGATGCGGTAAATAAGCCCACTGACCACGAGTCATGGAGGAGCACAGCACAGACAGCTACACAGCATGTGCTACTCCATAATGATACTAGATGCCTGTGTGGCCGGTTCATGAACTTCCCACAGGAGACTGCTCATTGTTATTTTAGAACACACATCTACTTACTTAAAAACCCTTCACTGCAGAACAGTCTGCCGCACTGTATCAGCATACGTATTTTGTGTTTCCTGCAGCTCTTGATTGAATTGCTCACTCTTGTGCTTGATTTAACCTCAGGTTGTGTTTTTCATCATGGCTGCCAGTGGGACAGGATGCACAGATCAAAGTAATACTATCTTGACCATGAGTAGGCCTACGCTAACGTCTATGTTTGTCTCTTACTTTTTAACAGAAATCAATTTTAAAAGTAAAAAAAGTAAAAGAAATTTTAAGTATGAAAAAAATCTCCTTGAATAAAGATATAAAGAAAGTAGTTTTGCATAACTGTACAATGTGTTTACATTTTAAGCTAAGGGTTATTAAAAAGAGTCAAAAAGTTTTTAAAAATTAAAAAGCTTATTAAGTAAAAAAGGTTACAGTAAGCTAAGATGAATGTACGAGTAAAGAAAGAATACTTGCTATAAACCTGCCTCTCCCAAGCGCGCGGTGTCATCAAGTGTGTGGTGGTGCACAGGCCCGCCTGGGTCCTCCGTCACTCCCGCTCGCTCACTTACCCACTGCAACTTCCAGGGCTGCCAGCTCCACTCGTGGCAAGCGTGCTCTCCGAATGTGGAGTTTTCTCTTTTATACTGCATGTTTAACGTACCTTTTCTATTAGGTACACGAATACCGCTGTGTGACAACTGCTTACAGCACTCGGTGCAGTTTCGAGCGATGAGTGCTGGCTGGGAGCAGCACTGCCCGGGGCACTGGGCTGTCCCACGCGGCCTGGTAGCACTGCGCTGCACCGCCACCTGTGCTGTCCACACAGTGGCAACATCACCTGGCCATGCATCTCCTGTATGCCCCCGGCTAAGGAACATGCCACTGCACTGGAATCACGCAAATGTATGTTACTGCCCTTTTAATGCTTGCGAGGCCAAAGGCAACTCTCCGCTGTGAATCCCAGATCTATTCCCGGAAAAGTATGGGTTACAATGAAATATAAGACCGAATTCATAAAACCGTTGATCAAAGACTGAGGCACGGTTACTGCCCAATTTCCAGCTGGCAGGTGCTCCCTTTGTAGTTTTTAAACAAACAACAGAAGGTACGTGTGTGTGTGCGTGTGTGTGTGCACACAAATACATTTCACTCAGTCTGCAGTCTTAGCTTCCACACTGTAACAACTCAGGAAGGTGCCCAGAAAGGGAGCAGTGTGGACTCCACAGCTAAGACAGAGCTGGCTCCGATCCTGGCCACCGACATCAGCTGCTTGTCTTCTCAGGGCCTCCATTTGCTCATCTTCAAATGGGTGTGATGCTAGGTTTCTCTGGGGAGTTCATTAAAATGATGAAATGCGGGACCAGCAGTTGGCTTAATGGCTCTGTCGCTGGACTCCCATGTAGTCAACCATGGTTCACGTCCCAGACCTGGTGGCTTAAAACTCACGCCGAGTGCATGTGCATGCATGCCCAAGATCCCAAGAGGAGAATGGAGGAGAAGGGATTGCAGCGTGGCCATCCCCCCTGGGGGCTGATTTCTCGCTTTCTGTCTCTCTGTCTCTGTCTGCCTGTCTGGCGAGCGCACGTGCCCTATAGCAAAAACTTCTTAAAAAAAAAAAAGATGAAATGCGATGAAAACACGCAAAGCACCTAGCACAGCCAGCAGGCAATAAAAGTTACACTTTCCCCTTCCCAGGGCACAGTGCTGTTAAGAAACAAAAGAAGAGGGGCCAGCATGTGGCATAGCAATTATGTTGCTGGACTTCCACATTGACCACCATGGTTTGAGTCCTGGACCCAGTGGCTTGAAACACACCAGGCACATGTGCCTAAGTATCCCAGATCCCGAGGAGAATGGAGGAGGGATTGTGGTGTGACCACTCCCCAACCCCGGGGGTAGGAGGGTGGTGGTGGGGGGGGTGGAAGGGACACTTCTCATCTCACTGTGTTTCTCTCTCCTCCCCCACCCTGCAAGCACACATGCCCTAGGGCAAAAACCTGTACCAAATAAAAAATAAAAAGGCAGAATTCAGAGGCAGCTTTAAGTCCAAACACCCTCTTTTCTCACTGCACGCTTTTGTTGCAGTCTTGAATTATGAACAAAAATCTGTTATTTTGTTGATGTCACGCAGACAGGAACCAAAGCAGGTACTTAATACATCTGCCCAAAATGTATTTGATTGAACATTTATTTACTTTTTCCTTTTTAATCAGCCAGAGGGCACATGTGTACTTGCTGGAGAGACGGAGCAAGAGAAGAGGAAAGCAAGAGTACTCTTCATGGGGCTGGTCACACTGCCACCTCCTCGCCTCCATTTCTCCCTCCGTCTGGGGTTTTGCAAGCCGCTGAACCTAGAACTTGGACCACATGGTAAGCCACGTGGAATTGGCTGCCTTAACCACCAGGCCATGGACTGGCCCAACTTGAGCACATCTAAGACCCTGACTGTACGTGCAGGTCTTGAGTTCCCAGGAGCCCCTGCAGTGGGCAGCATGTGACATGTAAAACGAAAACGGGAACAGAGTAAAACATCGTGTCCGAGAGGCGCTGTGGTAAAACGGAAGCAGCCGTGGACTTAG